GGGGCATTATGCAGGAAATATATGTTATGCTGGTCTCAAATTAACTGCCTGCAACCAGGTCAGATAATCTCAGTAACTCCAAAAAGACCCCAAAAAATAGGTACATAATTATATAGCTTGGTGCATTATCAGCCAGGTTTTGGAATACATTAGTTGCCAAAATTGAAATTCCTGCAGCCCCTACTCAGTAGGGCCAGGCTAGAACTTGAGTTGAAATGATTGGCTGCTAACATAACACGGTTCTAACATGCACCACAATAATTAAAATATAGTATATCCACAAAAAAACAAAACCTGCCAAAGTGTTAATAATTACAGATAAATGAACAGTAGTTTGGTTAGATGTCAATATTGCATAACCTAAAATATCATGTTGCCTCAACTGCAAGGAATCTCACAATATAGTGAGGTTTGCTTTAGGTTATGAAGTGGTCAAAATGATTTTTGTAAAGAAACTTTCAGATAACAGGTCTGCTTTAAAGGACCACTCTAGGCACCCAGACCACTTCAGCTTAATGAAGTAGTCTGGGTGCCAGGTCCAGCTAGGCTTAACCCATTCTTTTATAAACATAGCAGTTTCAGAGAAACTGCTATGTTTATCAATGGGTTAAGCCTTCCCCCAATTCCTCTAGTGGCTGTCTCATTGACAGCCGCTAGAGGCGCTTGCGTGCTTCTCACTGTGAAAATCACAGCGGGAGGGGGACCCTCAGGGTGAGGGCACCCTCAGGGCACTATAGTGCCAGGAAAACGAGTATGTTTTCCTGGCACTATAGTGGTCCTTTAATTTGAGTTCCAGTTGTTAAAAATGCAATTTGTGGAGGAATATTATCACTCCACCTTTTCCACAGTAAAAGGATGAGGCAATGTCATCAACTATTGGTAGTTTAATTAAATATAAATCCTAAAACAGTAAACGAAACACTAGGAAATACATAGTTTCTGTAAGCAAATATTAATGTATTTGACTTCAAGTAAACAAATCCTTATATCACATAAAATAAGAAATAAATCCAGTGGTTATCAGGCTGAGCAGTGCTGGCATATTATAACATTTTGTTTGTCTGGCTTTTCAGTGATGTCTATTACAACTGTGGAAACTGGTAAAGACAATTATTGTGCTAGTCTAAACATGAAAAAAAATGCATATGCAAATAATGTTCTTAGCCCAAAATCAATAAAACAATAATGAATTTATAACATTCGTAGTTTGATATATTTTTTTTATAGAATAATCATGATTGTTCTGGAGTATTGTGCTGCATTAAATATGTTTTAAATTTAAACACATTATACAGTTTATATGATAAAGAAAGTGGTTTTCTTTATTAAAGGACCACTCTGGCACCCAGACCACTTCAGCTTAATGAAGTGGTCTGGGTGCCTGGTCCAGCTAGGGTTAACCCATTTTTTTTTATAAACATAGCAGTTTCAGAGAAACTGCTATGTTTATGAATGGGTTAAGCCTTCCCCCTAATCCACTAGAGGCGCTTGCGTGCTTCTCACTGTGATTTTCACAGTGAGAGCACGCAGGCGTCCATAGGAAAGCATTGTAAATGCTTTCCTATGCGACTGGCTGAATGCGCGCGCAGCGCTTGCCGCTCGTGCGCATTCAGCCCAGGAGGAGGAACGGAGGAGGAGAGAAGGAGGAGAGCTCCCCGCCCAGCGCTGGAAAAAGGTACGTTTATACCCCTTTCCCCTTTCCAAAGCAGGGCGGAAGGGGGACCCTGAGGGTGGGGGCACCCTCAGGGCACTATAGTGCCAGGAAAACGAGTATGTTTTCCTGGCACTATAGTGGTCCTTTA